ATACACGTGTGCTTGTACTCGTTAGCTGGGATAAAAAGTTATCTTTCTGATCTTTGCCATAACATTACATCTGTAATTTTGTTAGTTGTTGTAGTTTGTGTTATCTGATGTATAGCTTTTGTAGTGCCTGTATCTGATGTTGTGTAGATGCTGTATTTTTTGTAGTTGCCATCATCATGTTACTCTTCTTATATCTATAGGCTTGAAGCATTGCTGAAACCAAAGTCAAATGATTCTTGGTTGTTGGGTTACTTTTTAGGTTTGCATATTGAAGTAACATAGATGAAGTCTCATCTTGGAAGATATTCTATACCTTTTTTTGCCTGTTGCGTAACGTTTTTTTTTAACGTGTATACTTAAGTACTGCACCCTAAAGTCATAAATTAAAGCAGTGAATTCCATCGTCTATGGTTACGCTCCTTTGGAGAAAAGAAGACTCCCTTTATGTAGAATTCTTTTCTTTCAATGTGGATCATCGCTATCTCAGTTATTTTAAGTTCAAATGTTTTGTGGAGAGATGTGAGAAACTGAGACTTACAAAACCGTGACAGTAAAGCAGAGGAACAATGTGTGAGATGGAGAAAGGAATATCTTTGTCTACACTAAAATATGTTTCTGTTTCTAAATCGTATTATTTTGAGTGCTTTATTCACTTCACTCAAGTTATCCACTTTGAAAAAGGCGTTGAATGTTTGTCCGTCAGTGCTATATTTAATCTAGTGTTTTTTCGAGTTAGGCGTTATAAAATACTGTATATATACACGGTTCAGTAAATGTTTCAAGCTTTCGCCGATCAATAGCATCATCACAATTCATTTGTTGTTGTTTATACTTTAGGGCGGAATGCTCGGAGTGATGGAAAGGGTTTAATGGGACCTCCAGGACCCCCAGGAAAACCTGGTACCCCCGGTAAACCTGGACAAATCGGGCCAAATTAAAGGTACGTTATACTAGTAAAGTAGCGGAGGCGCAGTGGCTAAATAGCTGGACTCCAGATCGAGCGGTCTGTTATCGGCGACAAAAATGTTGACACATTGACCTTTTTAACCCTCTATTTCGTCACTGTAATCCTTTTTGTCCTCCTAGCTTGTCCTTTCAGCTACTCCCACTCCCGCCACCCCCCAAAACATGTTGTCTGGCAATTGCTGTGATCTTGAGCTACAAACAAGCAAGATTGAATAGGGGAGCGGGGTCTTTTTCCACAGTTTATTGCGCTATATAAAGAGTGGAGTTAGTTGGTGCACTAAAAGTACTATTGAAAGACAATGTGTCAACTAATGACGTCGCCGATTTGTGGGTTGGAGCTCTGGCCGGCAAGTGAGCGAGACACTAAACTCTCACAGTATCTCTCTCTAGCATGCCATCCAGGTGAGTGGAGTAAAAATACTTCCAGACGCTTAATGCTACCGACAGAATTAAACCAGGATAAACTTTGACGTTATGGAGACTTGGCCCAACGTAGACATTACATTATACTAAAGACGTAGTTATAAAGTAGCTGCCAGTTGAGCAACATATGGTAAAATCAAAACTAAATAAATCTGAAAGCGCTTGCAATAATGTTGGAAAACCAGATAAAAGTCCCTGTTACACTTGCAGATGGCAAGGCCGTTTCGTTTTTTCTTGACTGGAAGACGAGCTCGATTAGCTTTAACTGTTTTGATACATCTTCGAACAAGCACGCTTGAAGAAATATTTCATAAGAATTGCAAGAGCGCAATTGCCGATAGCCAAATCTTCATCCAGGTACATGTATGCGTTCGTAAAGCAAAAACAAAATGAATTCTGTGTGCTATATTGAGAATGCGCTGAAAAATCCTTAACAGGTAATTATGTAAATACTCTGGAATGCCACTGCAATACCGCTGTGCGACACTGCAGAGTTAAAACAAATTTTGTTCAAGCTATAAAAAGCAGCTAATTTTTTATTTCATTGCAGGGGAGTCTGGGAAGCCTGGTTCCAAGGTTTCTGTTCCAGGCCCTCCTGGTCAAAAAGGAGACCGGGGAGCGAAAGGAGAAAGAGGACAAACTGGGAAGTCTGGGGTGAAGTACGTTCGCTGGGGTAGGACTACATGTCCCAGTGACGCTTAAGTTGTTTATAATGGTACATGAAGGGACAAGCTAATCTGTACAATTCAAACGCGAAGTTATCTTTGGTAAGATTTAAAATGTTAGAGAAAAAGGAAAGGAGGTTATTCGTTTTGTTAATTACCCTCGCATTAATTGATGGGAGCAAAATATCTTTCAGCTTTCAAACTTACATTCAGCGTATAATAGATACAAAGATGAGAAGCAGTTTTCAGGTACAGTTCGACCCCGCTTATTCAAACTCGGTTATTTCGAATTCCCCGTTATTTAGACCTTGAAAAAATTTCACTTGGACAGTCATTTACTATTGGCTATTTCAAACTCCCGTTCTCCCTGAGTGTTCAAATGACGGGATTGAACTGTAATTTGTTTGTGAGATTACATTTGTAGTTGATATTCTCAACTTGAAAAAATTTGGTAGGCCAATAAGAAAAATTCTGTTGTTATTCACTTTAAAGTAAGCCGACTGTCGTAAAGGAATTAAAATGAATCATATTTGAGATAGTTCACGTAATTGCTAGCTCATAAGGGCAGACAGTGTCTTGCAGTAATTCTGTTTATGGATACGTATGTCGTATCAAGATAAAGTCTCGCTAGACATAAGAATGACGACTAACGTTTTCATGTGCATGTTCTTAGGTATAATTGGCGGTGATCGTTATCGCCACCATGGCGGCGGAGTAAATTATCTTTGCCTTCCAAACAATCCAAAGTATGACAAGTACAAAAATGGATTTCAGAACGCAGGATACGTGTATGGCACTGAGTATGAAGTCAGCGGTTTCAACCCATTTAAGAAAAACCTGCAGGACCATGAGGCACCGTGTGCTGTTTGCTTCGTCAAGTCACGTGGCTCAATGCTTATGATGCCCGCAAGGAATGATTGTCCATCTGGCTGGACCGTGGAGTATCATGGGTACCTGATGACTGAATACTACAAGCACAAAAAACAACGTGACTACATATGTGTTGACGAGGATGCAGAGTATGTTCCCGGTACCCAGGCCAACAAGGATGGTGCGTTACTGTACCCTGTGGAAGGAGAGTGCGCAGGCTCACTTCCATGCGGCCCGTATGTCAGTGGGAGAGAGTTAACGTGCGCTGTATGCACCAAGTGACCCAAGACTACCATTACGTTGAAAACTAAGGATACAGAAAAAGTTTTGAACGGTGATTTGTGTGATTAAATGTAGCATAAAGATGAATCGAAACTTGATACTTTAGTCAAAGAAGTAGATCATGATGAACTCTGCGCTTTTACTCAAAAGTATCGAACTGATGATTTACATGAATGTAGAAAAAAATAGCGCTAATAAACTTAACTATAAGATCACTGAAAAAATTATCTTGTTTTCTTTACTGCCAAATTCGTCTCCAGAGCCCTCAATAATCCAGCTGGTTAACGCTAACAATTGTTACCTCAAGCTGATTCCCGTATTGAGGACGTTCGCTATTTGGACTAACGTCCTACCGGAGAAAGTGCTCTTGAGAATGTTGCGGATAATACATTAGAGTTTTCTTGAAAAGATTCAAGCAGCTTCGTTTGCATTTCGTCGCTCAAGCAAAGAATGTGTGTCTGCATGCCACGATGAATTTAATGCTCGGGATGGGGGGAGTGGGGGAGACTGCGATGGATTAGCATCCCATCCAGGGGGGAGTAGAAATACTCCTAGTCGCTTCAAGCTACTGAAACCGGAGATACGCGCAGGCCTGATGGGCCACTTGGCTCGTATGCAGACTTACGTAGACTCGAGACGCTGAAAAGAGGAAAGTGTATAGATACGCACTCAGATGTTTGCTTATATTGAGCTTTTTAGTGCCAATCACCAACGCGATTGTGGGATAAATGCTTGAACTAGTAGAAACTTCCATAGTAACAGATACAACCCCTAGGTCTGAATATCACTTTCTGCAGAATGACAAGCAGTATGACCTTGGTACACCTAAACAAAAAGGTTGTAGACGCGACGGTATGAGAAAACACCGGGTAAGATCTGGATTGCCCGAGCTAAAAGCGGTACCTCCATCTACCTCTTCATTGAAATAAGCGAGCAGTTTTCTTTCATAATTCGCACAGCACGGTGCTTTCTAAAGGAAATGGAGAACATGCGCCCCATCAAATTAAACAAATCAGTCCTCTCTCCTCGAAATTCCCTTGCTTGAAATATGGAACACCTTTTCGAGCAGTTAGGAATGATCTGAAGACGCCGCCGATCACTGAAGACGTTCTTCCCTAGCTCGCTGTCAAATGGCCATACTGGGAGAATATCGACCTGAGGCTTTGAAAGTACTGCGCAGCGCAGAATAGGAAGACATCTTAATTTTCTTGCGCGCAGTTTTGATTGAGTGCCGATTTAGCTTGTACGTTCGTCTGACGTTTCGAAGGTGGAAAAAAGAAAGAAAGTTGAAAGAAAAAGGAAGGAAATTTTACGGGTGTGTAAGCAAGTTCTTTCGGAAAATTAAGCCATAAGAATACAAGAAAACTGTGCGGGGTCATGTGGGACAGTGCCCGGTCAAATAGTTACTGTTTGTTCAACTGGATCGTCAATAGGGCACTCTGATTGGTTGATTTTAGTTTTTGTTCCTCTTACCAAAATAATTCGTGAAATGAAGGTAGAAAATTACAGATTAAGAGCCTGATGTCATTTTATTTACGAGTTTTTTTAAAATACCTTAACGTGAATAACGAGTCTTGAGCGAGTGAGCATGGTTTGAAACACTGGTGAATAAAACGGTATCAGGCTCCTAATTAAAAGACGTGCGCGCCCAAACTGTTCCCATGATCAGATTTTTTTAAAAACCTGCCATGCAACAAGGTAAACATTAACTTTTGCCAAAAAGCCAAAAATGGGGGGTCACCGTGCTCGTTTTCGAGATAAGGCGCATTGAAGACCATGCGTTTTTAGAAGCTTTTGTCATTTTGAGACGATCTTATGGCTCACAACTATCAGCAATAAAAGGAGCTACATTAGTAAAATTTAGATCACACAAACAGGGCCATAGCCAAAAACGAGGTATAACTGAGGTAATGTCAATAGTTTAATTCCCTTCTTAGGTAATCGGCAGTGTTTGACTTTCCTCCTTCTTATAAAAGAAATACAACAAAAACGGAAAAAATTAAATGACTGAAGCAAGTGCCTCAGTTTGAAAACAAAGTCCCACGGTTTGCCTCATACTGGCTACAGCCCTTATAAACGTACTCAGTTCAACACAACCAAGTCTATTAAGTAACCTTTTACAGCTGTTGTTGTTCCTTGGGGTAGAAGAAGCCTTGAAAACAGAAAAGGAGAAATATTTGTAACTTCTCATGGACAGATTTTTTCTGTTTTCTTTGTTGTTAAAGTGGGGAAAATCGATCGAAAGAGTGATCTATGAAAACAAAAGAGGGGGTCACAAGCCTGTTAAGGAAGTAAACTTTTTTGCAGTGAAGTTAATGCAAACGCTAGCAAGCCCTATTTAACAAATGGTAAACGCCATAGCGTGCACTATTGAGTTATGGATGCACGCGGGAGGTTGCTAAGATTACTGTAGTTTGTGTTGTTACTGTAGTTTGTGTTGTTACTGTGGTTTGTGTTGTTACTGTAGTTTGTGTAGTTACTGTACTTTGTGTATCATTATTGTTGTTTATCTAGTTACTGTAGGTTGTTTAGTTAATGCACTTTGTCTTGTTACTGTAGTTTGTATAGTTACTGTAGTTTGTGTAGTTTGTGTAGTTACTGTAGTTTGTGTAGTTACTGTAGTTTGTGTAATTACTGTAGTTTGTTTAGTTGCTGTAGTTTGGTTCAATTACTGTAGTTTGTGTAGTTACTGTAGTTTGTATAATTACTGTGCTTTATGTAGTTACTGTAGTCTGTGTAGTTACTGTAGTTTGTGTATTTACTGTAGTTTGTTCAGTTACTGTAGTTTTGTATAGTTACTGTAGTTTGTGTATAATTATTGTTCTTTGTTTAGTTACTGTAGTTTGTGTAATTACTGTAGTTTGTAGAGTTACTGCAGTTGCTGTAGTTTCTGTAGTGTCTGTAGTTTGTATGTTTGTGTGGGTACTGTAGTTTTATGTAGTTACTGCAGTTTTTGTAGTTACTGTAGCTTGCGTAGTTACTGTAGTTTGTGTTGTTACTGTAGTTTGTGTAGTTACTGTAGTTTGCGTAGTTACTGTAGTTTGTGTTGTTACTGTAGTTTGTTTAGTCAGTGTAGTTTGTGTAGTTAGTGTAGTTTGTGTTGTTACGGTAGTTTGTATAGTTACTGTAGTTTGTATAGTTATCTAGTCTGTATAGTTACTATAGTTTGTATAGTTACTGTAGTTTGTATAGTTACTGTAGTTTGTATAGTTACTGTAGTTTGTGTAGTCACTGTAGTTTGTGTAATTACTGTAGTTTGTATAGTTACTGTAGTTTGTATAGTTACTGTAGTTTGAATAGTTATCTAGTCTGTACAGTTACTATAGTTTGTATAGTTACTGTAGTTTGTGTAGTTACTGTAGTTACTGTAGTTTGTATAGTTAGTGAATTTTTTTGTTCAGTTGCTGCTTGTGTAGCTGCTCTTGTTTCCGGCTTAGTTAAGTTTCTGTAGTTTTGTTAGTTGTTGTAGTTTGTGTAATAGATGTGAAGTTTCTGTAGTTGCTGTATTTGGTACTGTGTAGATGCTGTAGTTTGGTTAGTACTTTTTTGCCATATTTCAAGAGGATGCTGTTTGTTTTAAAGTTTGAGTTGTACTGAAGAGTTTTTACGCTGTGCGTTGCGCAGTTTGGTGGTGATCGGGGGGTGGGGGAGGGGGGGATTCCTATAAATACTGAAATTGGTTTAAAAATAAAACGAATAAGAATATAAACCAACCGAATTTTTACTCAGTTTACAGTCTTTTGGGTGCGTTTGCCTTGTTTATTAAACATTTCTTTTTTAATCTCGAGTATTGCATTTGGTTAACTTCTCATCATGTCACTTTTCTTATATCTATAGGCTTAAAGCATTGCTGAAACCAAAGTCAAGTGATTCTTGGTTGTTGGGTTACCTTTTAGGTTTGCGCTTGAATAACATTGATGAAGTCAGATCTGTTTTGGCTCTTGTGTAGCTTTTTCTTTTTAAGTGTATGCTTTTGATTTTGACGTCTTACAGTCATAAAGCAGTGAATTCCATCTTCCATCAATTGTTTCGCTCTTCTGGATAGAAAAAGGCTTTATGTAGAATTCTTTTCTCTCAATGTGGATCATCGTTATCTCAGTTATTTTAAGTTCAAATGTTTTAAGAGAAAACTGTTAAGGTTATTGTGGAGAGATGTAGGAGACTGAGGCTTATAAAACTAGAGTGAAGCAGAGGAACAATGAGATGGAGAGAGGAATACCTTTGTCCACACTAAAATATAGTTCTACTTTTTGACCGTATCATGTTGAGTGCTTTATTTACTTCACTCAAGTGATCTACTTTTAAAAAGGCGTTGAATGTTTGTCCTTCAGTACTATATTTAATCTAGTGTTACTTCCAGTGAGGTCTTATAAAATACTGTGTACAGTTATGTCAATGTTCCAAGCTTTCGCCTATCCACGGCATCGTCACCATTCATTTTTTGTTAAACTTTAGGGCGGGATGCTCGGAGTGATGGCAAGGGTATAATGGGACCTCCAGGCCCCCCAGGAAAACCTGGTGCCCCCGGTAAACCTGGACAGATCGGGCCAAAAGGTACTTTAAAATAGAAAAGTAGCGGAGGCCAAATGGCCAGCGTGCTGGACTCCGGATCGACAGGCCAGGGTTCGAGCCCTGGCCAACAAGTTGGCCAGGAGACATTTTACTCTCACAGTGCCTCTCTCCACCCAGGTGTTTAAATGAGTTCCGGTAAATTTAATACAGGAGGTAACCCTGCGATTGACCAGTGTTCTTCTCAAGGGGTGGAGTACAAATACTTCCAAACGCTTAATGCGTGAAGGAAGCCAGGATAAGCTTCGAAGTTATGGACAATGTGCTCCGATGTGGACTTTGCATTATATTATAGAAGTAGTTAGAAAGAAGCTGCCAGTAAAGCGACATATGGTAAACTCAAACCTAAAGGAATTTGAAGGCATTGGAATAATGTTGGAAAACCAGTTAAAAGCTCCTATTTAAACGTCTGCTGGTAACGAGGTCGCATGGTTCAAATTTATATTCCTTATTGATTGACAAGCTAGAGTAGTTAGAGCTGTACGTTAAATACGTTTCTACCCCACGGTAGCTGAGGGGAACCCTGAATGACCGCGGACTGCAAACTGATGAAACCTGATAGATCTTCGAACAATCACATATTATTTCGTGAGAATTGGACTAGTGGCGCTAGCCAAATCTTGATCCAGGTACATGTGTGCGTCCGTTGTTGTAGTGAAAACACCCTGCAAGTACGCTATTGAGAATGCGCAGAAAAAAGTAATTTTTATTTCATTGCAGGAGAGGTTGGAAAGCCTGGTTCCAAGGTTTCTTTCCCAGGCCCTCCTGGTCAAAAAGGAGACCGGGGAGCTGTAGGAAGGACTGGAACACGGGGAGCAAAAGGAGAAAGAGGACAAACTGGGAAGTCTGGGGTGAAGTATGTTCGTTGGGGAAGGACCACATGTCCCAGTGGCGCTAAAGTTGTTTATAAAGGTACATGGAGGGACAAGCTAATCTGTGAAATTCAAACGCGAGGTTATCTATGATAAGATTTTAAATGTTAGAGAAAAACGAAAGGGGTTACTCGTTTTGTTTATTACCCTCACATTGCCGGATGGTAGCAAAATATCTTTCAGCTTTCAAATTTGCATTCAGCGTATGATTATTATTAATAGACACAAAGATGGGAAGCAGTTTTCAGGTACAGTTGGACCTTACTTATTCAAACTCGGTTACATCAAATACTCCGTTATTACGAACTCAAAACCATTTCCCTTAGATTTAATAATAATAGTAATAATAATATAATACTAATACTAATACTAATACTAATACTAATGATGATGATGATGATGATGATGGTGATGATGATGATAAGACACTTATATAGCTGAGAAACCAGAAACTGCAAAGGACCGGATACGATAAACGCTGCCAACGTAGGATCTTCAAGAGATCTGATCAGCCAAAAAAATTTATGGAGACAAACAATAGACTGCAAGGCTGATACTACGTGAAAAACGTTTCGAGACACCAACATGACAAGAACCGATAAAGTANAGGATCGCAACAGTGGACAGCTGTTTCGCCCTTCTTGGGGCTCGTCAGCACTGTGTAGCGAAGATATGTAGCGCCAGCCCAACAACCAACGCACATAAATTGCAAAATGACCCATTCACTATATCAAGTTCCGTACTTTGAACTCACTTGGGCCCCGAAACACGCGTTGCCACATCACTTATATAGCGCTGTTTCCCGGTGGTTCAACAGCGCCAAAACCAAAACCAAAACTATCTAAAAACAAAGTAAAACCATACTGAAACATTTTTTCCCCTTCTGTCATTTACTATTGGCTATTTTGAACTCCCGGCAGTTCTCCCTGAGTGTTCAAAATGGCGGGATCCAATTGTATTTTTTTTGTGAGACTAAATTTGTAGTTGATATTCTCAACTTGAAAAAATGGTAGGCCAATAAAAAATTCTCTCGCTATTCAGTTTAAAGTAAGCCGACTGTCGTAAAGGAATTAAAAGGAATCATATTTGAGATAGTTGACCGTCTGTTCACATATTTGCTAACTCAGTTATATATGAGTTGTTACAAGGGTAGGCTCTTTAGGCAACTGTCAGGTTCTTGTAGTAATTAAGTTAGTTCTTTGCGGGTATGTATGTTACAACTGCATAATTAGCTGATCAATGTAATTTGTTGTTGGAAATATAATTAATAGAATGGCGACCAACTTTTTCATGTGCGTATTGTTAGGTATAATTGGTGGTGATCGTTATGTTCACCATGGCGGTGGAGTAAACTATCTTTGCCTTCCAAACAATCCTAGGTATGACAAGTACAAAGATGGACAGCAGTACGTTGGATACGTTTACGGCACTGAGTATGAAGTCAACGGTTTCAACCCATTTAAGAAAAATCTCCATGACCATGAGGCACCGTGCGTTGTTTGCTTCGTCAAGTCACGCGGCTCAATGTTTATGATGCCTGCAAGGAATGATTGTCCATCTGGCTGGACCGAGGAGTATCATGGGTACCTGATGACTGAGTACTGGAAGCACCCCAAACAACGTGACTCCATATGTGTTGACGAGGATGCGGAGTATGTTCCCGGTACGCAGGCCAACAAGGATGGTGCGTTACTGTACCCTGTGGAGGGAGAGTGCACTGGCTCACTTCCATGTAAACCATATGTCGATGGGAGAGAGTTAACGTGCACTGTTTGCACCAAGTGACCGACGACGGCCATAACAGTGAAAACCAAGGCTACAGAACAAGATTTCTTGAAGAGCAATTTTTGTGATTTAATGTAGCGTAAAGATGAATCGAAACTTGATCAGTTTTAGTCAAAGAAGTAGACCATGATGAACTCTGCGCTTTTAATCAAAAGTATCGAATTGATGATTTACATGGATGTAGTGTACGAATAACAATAATAAACTTAACTAAGATCACCGAAAAAAGTTTTCTTTTCTTCACTGCTAAATTCGTCTCCAGAGCCAATGCAGTTGGTTAACGCTAACAACTGTTACCTCAAGCCCATTCCACACTATTGAGAATGTTCGCTATTTGGACTAACGTCATGAGAAGGGCTCTTGCTAGTGGTGCGGCCAATACATGAGCGTTTTCTTGATCATGTTTTCTTGATCGCTCAAGCATAAACCGTGTGTCTGTATGCCAAGACGAATTTAATGTTTGGGGGGGGGGGTCTACAATGTACTAGTGTCCCACCCAGGGGGGAGTAGATAAGGCGCTGGTCTTATGGACCACTTGGCTCGTATGCAGACTTTACCCATGAAGAGTCGAGATCCTGAAAAGAGAAAATGGGAAAAGACTTGCTCAGACGTTTGCTTATATTAAGCTTGAATTAAGCTTTTCAGCTCCGATTCCAACGCAATTGTGCGGTTATAAAGGTCAGAGTTAACTTCTGATAAATGCTGGAGCTAATATAAAGGTCCATAATAACAGGCGTAGCCCTTAGGTCTGAACATCACTTTCCGCAGTGTAACAAGCAGTATGACATTGGTATACCTGAACAAAAAGGCTGTAAACGTTGCGGTGTAAGAAAACACCCGGTAAGATTGCCCGAGCTAAAAGCGGTACCTCTACGTACCTCTTCATTGAAATGAACGAGCAGTTTTCTTTTCCTTTTCCGCACAACACGGTGCTTTCTAAAGGAAATGGAGAACATGCGCCCCGTCAAATTAAACACATCTCTCTCCTCCAAAAATCCTTTGCTTGAAATATGGAACACGTTTTCGAGCAGTTAGCAACGATCTGAAGACGTCGACGATCATTGAAGGCGTTCTTGCTTAAGCTCGCTGTAAAATGGCCATACTGGGAGAATATCAACCCGAGGCTTTGACATCGACACTACAGCGCAGCGCAGAATACAAAGATGTCTTAATTTTTCTGTGCGTAGTTTTGATTGAGTGCAGAAAGAAAGTTGGAAGAAAAGGAAAGAGAAAATTTTACGAGCGTGCAAACATGTTGTTTCGAAAAATTAAGCCGTGAGAATCCAAAAACACTGTGCGGGGTCATATGCTGGAGCATAGCTAGCCATTAAGCCATTAAGCACGAACAAGAATTTCTGTAAATAATTTTTTTAGTAGCCGAAAGGCCATATTTTCCTTTTCTTACTATTTAATAGCGAATCACGGCTATATCAACGTTTTAAATTGGAAAACGAAATGACCTTCAATCTTAAACAGGAATAAATGCTGAAAGGTTAATAACAAAGCAGAACTTTGAAATAGTTTTGCGCACGAAAATTTAGTTGACTGTTTTTTTTTTTTTTATAGACGTTGGCAAAATTTGATTAGTACGACTTACGCTGTACAATTTGGGCTTCAATGGAAAAAATGGCTGGCTACGCCCCTGATGTGGGACAGTGCCCAGTCAAATAGTTACTCTTTGTTCAGTTGGATCGTCAGTAGAGCATTTTGATTAGTATATTTTAGTGTTTGTTCCTCTTATCAAACTTATAGTAATAAATTTAGAAAATTACTGATTAAGAGCTTGGTGTCATTTTTATTCACGAGTTTTTAATACTCAGCCTAAAATCAGCAAACACCTTGGTTTGACAGGTGTTAATTGAACATAACATGGATGTCCAATATCAAATATCTACGCTGTAAACCAAGGCTGCTTGCCTCGGTCGAACTATTGGCTGGAGTATGGCCGCCATGTTGCGAGACGCCGTTTTTCGTCGTACGCGTTACACGCCGCTAACAATGTTGACCATGACAAAAGAGTTGCATGGTTTTCTACTTCCATGCACGCATGTGGTTCTGTTCCTATAGTTATGGAGCTCAGCTCGGAGCGCCGTTAAAAAAGGGCCTCTAATCCCTCGCGTTGACGATCAGAAACATCTGAGCATGGAAACATCTGAGCACGTTTCGACCTAAATTTTCCTCCACGTAGAATCTTTGCGTGCTCTACTTAAATGGAGTTCATGCATCTTAAAGTATGCAAACGTAGTGGTTTAAATGTGGGTTTGTATTGCGAAAGCACTATTAGTTGCAACATTAAACACGTCTTTCGCGTTAAATTTTTGGAGAATAGCGCGCGTCCTCAATACTGAAGTCACCTAGAGGTGACTATCGTAAACTTCCGAAAGCAACGACCCCGGCAAGTAGCGAGCGAGTCCCAAAGGCTGCTAATTCCGAAAGTAAAGAGGGCCCTTACTTTTGGAAGTTTACGGTTCTGGCTTTGACCAACAGGATCAAGGGCTCTGGAGATGAAACTGAATTGAATGGCAGTGAAGCAAAGAAGATAACTTTTGATTGCACGATCTTGCATAGTTTATTACTGTTATTTATTCGTTACATGTACATCGTGTTCATCAGTTCGATACTTTAAACTGAAAGAGCGAACTTCATTATCGCGTACTTCTTTAACTAAAATTCCTAGTTTCTCGGTTTTGTGTGACGTCATGTTAATCACGAGAAGTTATGAAGACTATGAAATCATATGTTCCGTCTTTCCGGTTTCCAGAGGAATGGCGGTCTCCGGTCACTTGGTGCACACAGCGCATGTCAGCTCTCTTCCGGCGACATATGGATTGCACGGGAGTGTGCCACATACTCCTTCCACGAAGTAGAGTAAGGCACCATACTTGTTGGCCTAACTACCGCGAACATACTCTGCATCCTCGTCGACACAGACGAACTCATATCCTTTCCTGTGGTTGTAGTATCCAGTCATCAGGTACCCATGATACTTCGCGGTCCAGCCAGATGGACAATCATTCCGTGCGGGCATCATAAGCATTGAGCCACGTGACTTGACGAAGCAAACAGCACACGGTGCCTCATGGTCATGGGGATTTTTCTTAAATGGGTTTAAACCGCTGACGTCATACTCAGTGCCATAGATGTATCCCACCTTCTGACGTCCATCTTTGTATTCGTCATACTTTGGATTGTGTGGAAGGCAAAGATAATTTACTCCGCCGCCTGGGTTATTGTAAATCTCACCACCAATTAAACCTAATGCACATAAAACAGTTGATCGTCCAAAAATAATTATATCGATCGACCACATATAAAGAGAATTACTTCAAAAAGGTTGAGGATTTTTAAAGTTTATAGTTTGCATATCCGTCTTTTGTCTACTTAAATGAGAATATTAGAGGAATTTTGTTTAAATTACCATTGAAAATTTTTTTTTTTTTTTTCAAGACGAGAATATCAACGCCCATTTAGACGTACGTAGCACATTTAGTGTCATATCCGGATGTACCTGAGAAGAACCAACCATCTCTGGACTGAAGGGTCTCACCGCTGCTTGAAGGGCCAAGAACGAACCGGCCGAAAGTGAAGTGGCCAAGGGGGAAATGGGGTGGGAGCTCTCCCCTCCTCTCTCTTCTATTCTCTTTCTTCCCGTCCCATCCTCTACTAGACAGCCTGTTGACAGGCTATGTTATAGTTTGAAAACTGGGGGAATTCCTCTAGTGAGAGATAGATTTCATTTAAAATTTCATTTCGAATTATTTTCGTTACCCTTTTAGATGAACAAACTCACTTTTTGTTTTTTTTTCTCTTTAATTTACTTATTACGGAAGACCCTGTAAATCTGTACAATGGCCTATACTAACCTTTGTAAACAACTTCAGCACCAATGGGACATGTGGTCCTTCCCCAGCGCACATACTTCACCCCAGACTTCCCATCTTGCCCTTCATCGCCCTTACTTTCCTGATCTCCTTTAGGACCTGCAGCAAAACAACTGAAAAGCTATTGTTTTTGTCGATAGCTCGTACTATATATGAAAGCTAGTCTTAAGTGACCGTGCTTGTGTTTTGTTTTCTTCGTTTGCCTCGTTAGCTTAATCGCTCTGCATTTGACTAAAAATAAATTCAGTATTCCTTCGGTGCCAAACACACAAAATCTGGAATTTTTTTGTCAATTAGGCACGATTTGGTAATTTCTATCTCCATTTTCTCGTACTGTTTTATTTTGCTATTCTTTATTCACCTTTATAGAAACAAAACAAAGACAAAAGCCCAGAATTAACGGTCCTGGAGGCTAACAAGTTTCCATCAAAGATCTTCCATCTATGTTTGAAGCTGTTGCGATATCATATCTACCGTTATCTATGTGAGATGTTTACCACTGTCTGTGTTCCTTGTACATTCGCTGTCTAAATCGACTCACACGACCGCCGTTTATTGAGCTCAGCATCTTGGGCAGCATGCTCTAACTAATTACGATCTTATCAAAACTAAAGCAAAGCTGATAATTAATCGATCTGAGCATATAGCTCTTATTCATTTCACAGCTGGCTACCTGTTCTAGAACCTATTTTTGTGACCGTCAGTTTTTCACTTACCTTTTGGACCAATTTGTCCAGGCGTTCCAGGCTTCTTATCATGCCTTGCCCGTTATTTCGACCGTCCCGCCCTGATTTTTTTTTTACAGAACGAAAAAGAAACACAAAGTGAATAGATAACATGTTTCTCAAGTAAACTTAATAATCTTAAAACAGATCTGTTATTTTAAGTTCAGAGCTGCATCAACTGCCTATATGCTGGCATTCCACTCAGATTTTATTAAAAGCGCTAGCGCTGCTCACTTTTTGCTTTCATCTTTAGTCACATTTAAAATATGTAACGATCCATACGATGGGAAACCCCAAGAGCCATTGCGGACCAAAGGCATCAAACATTTCGGGAATTTCGGACGCCATTTCCCCGCGCTACATCCGCAAAAATCCTCGCAGCATGTACGCGCGTGTGCCACACGGGATGGCGCAATTTGTTCTAAAAATAGAAAAATTGTTCCATATCATAGGGACAGCCCCAAATACTAGAAACGTCGCGCGCTTACGGTCTCCGTTCCCGATTGCGGCTCCTGGAAACCCCTTATTTTTCCAAATGTCCTCCCAGCTGTACTTTAA